GGAATTCAAAAACTGTTTAATGAGAGAGGGAGGATACAATTTAAGAGGCCATTTAAACTTAAAAATTTACTCTATACGTACAACCAAAAAAAAGTTTTTGTATATCTGTAAGTGGTGTAAAATTGTGGAACAAATTAAAGGACGATTTAAAACAATGTACAAGCATAAAACAGTTTAAATATAAAAGAGGCTGTATTTCAAGGTATAGGAAAGATGAGGTATAGTGCAGATCATATGGGAGTACTCAGGGTGTAGTGTATGATAATAAAATTAATGTATAGACTTTGTTAATCTTGTGGTGTTGATTAAGTGAATGTTGTTTTGTATTGAGTTAGTTAACAATTTTATTTCATATAGTTGGTACACGACGATCTGTGTGTGCAATGACGAATTTGTGTTTGAGTGCAAGTAGAGTCACTGTGGTGTAGGTTGTTTGGTGCTGGATGTTGGGTGCATGTCAGGGCTGGTTCTTGGCGGTTTTTGGGGGTTTGACTGGTTGTTGATGGGGTCGATGGCGCTGGCATAACTATACCATGGTCTAAGAAAGGGGGTAGAACTAGATAAGTCTGTACTTCTTTCTACTCCCTTTCAAGCATGCAATGGTGGTAGTATTTGTAATTTACTTCATGAATGTGATATGACTGAATTGTGTACTATTTTGTCTTTATATTGTTATTAGTTTTTTCTTCTTGTGTTGTATATGCACTACCTTTTTTTTCTTTTCTCACAATTTTATTTCTGTAATGCTATTTTATTTTTTACATGCTTGAAATAAACTAAACTAAACTAAACATTAATATGTCCCCTACGTACACTATTGGCCCTCTGTGTGTACGTTTCCTTATATTGTTGCACGGCAGTTAACCTGCCGACATTAAACCGTTATTGTTGCACTGTGGTTCCACTTTTTTCTCCCGGGCCCCGAATTGATGTTATTTTAATTTACTTGTATTAATGACCCATTTCTAATTTTCTCTGTTCATTGCGCCCCACCTATCATGTTTTTATTCCCCACTAGTGGGCCGCGCCCCACACTTTGAGAACCACGGCTGTAGAGGAAGGTGAACTGTGTGTGACTCTGTCCTCCTGTGTTGTTGATTTCAGGGACCTGAAGACTAAGATCGAGAAGGAGGACATGAAGTGGGAGCTGCTGGGCTCTCAGAGTAAACTGGTCAACTGGCTGTGTATCCGCTGCCTGCAGCCCTTCAAGTTCCTGCTCAACAGCAAACACCAGTGTCTGGACTGTCACCTGTACACCTGCAAGTCCTGTAGTCGCTACAACAACAAGGAGCATGGCTGGGTGTGTGACAACTGCCGCATGACCAGGTGAGACTGCACCTACACAGCAAGGTAAACACTCTGAGGTTAAACCCTGTGCACTGTGTACTAATTCACCCATGTTGTGTTGCCTTTTATGTTGTGTACCTGCAGAGTTTTGAAGATGGGGACTCTGGGTTGGTACCACGATCATTTCAGAAACCGGTTCAAACATTTCGGCAGCGCCAAAGTGATGAGGTTACTATATAAGAGGCTGAATGGAGAGGGTGAGTCAACACACCTTTTGTTACCTGTAGGTTTCCCATAAGGTTCATCTGTTACACGCAGGAGTCAGTTGTTACCTGTAAGACTCAGCTGTTTGGAAATAATGAGGAATTTATATCAAAATGATTAGAAAACATGTTTGGTACTAATGAGAAAATTACTTTAAAATCCTGTAAACTGAAAGTTTATGAGGCTGACATGACTCACATACAAACCATTTTTTTCTTCAGGAGGTCGAGAAGACGACACTCAGAGCATGCCAGACATCCACAGCCGTGAGTCAAATCTAATCTAAACAAATCAAGTTTATTTGTACTTTAAAAACAGCATGTTGAACAAAGTACTTCACAAGATAAAATGTAGACAAAAAAACAGAGACAGTCATTACAGACAGACATTTACATGTTGGTACAAACATGTTTTCTCCTGTACAAATGAAAAATAACAGTTTTTACATGATTGTCTGTAAATGTGAGCTCAAACTCTGCCTTCTATTTCAGAATTAATGTCAGCGTTTTTATTTGCAGACATGTATAACTGTAAAGAGGATGACCGCAGCGAGGCCGAGGCTCAGCGCTACAAAGTGGTAACATAAAAAATATAAATGATGTGAATGTGACTCTGACCTGACACCTGCTGGTGTAAAATCTGTGTTTCCTGTGTTTTCATCTCTTTTCAGATGCGGAAGCGCAAACGTCTGCTGTCGGTTCATCCTATGGACTTTGACACAGAGGAATATCTGCCTCATTCACGACGACCCTCTGTGCAGGTACGGTGACACCAAAGGCTGACAGGTTTACGTATGTTCACAGGACTGGTCCTGTGTCTCCTGACACTGCTACATATGTGCAAACAGAATCACATTGTCCTGTTGTTATGAACTTGTTCAGTCTAAAATAAAGTGGATTCACTGATTCATGCATTTTTATTTAATCTGAGGTTTTGAGTCTCTTTGTGGTTGTATAGTGCATTTTTGTAGTCATGTTGTGTCTCTTTCCTGCATCTTTGTAGTTCTGTCTCTTTGTTATTTCCCATGTCTCTGTGGTTGTTTGACTTTCAGTCACTTCAGAATGACCCATGCATTCAGCCTGAGCAGATATAATTCTTCCAACCTGTGTCCCAGTTTACTGAGCATTGATAACTGAGCCAATAAAAAAATCTAGTTATTGATCTGAGCAACAGATTGTAACAATTGATTAATTTTGTTATGGCATTTTTAGCAGATGCAGGAAGATAGGTGTTACAGGAGCAATGTGGACTACGACATGTACAACCACCGAATGAACCGCAGGAAGAGTCTGGACCGGTACGCCATGAGAGCTGGTCAGTACACACAGAACACAGCATGCAGAGTACACAAACCTCATAAACAGGAATGAAGTTTCTTGCTGACCCTCTTAATGTTGTTGTGTGTTCGGTGGTTAGGGTCCACCTAGTGTCTGGGAGAGGAACTGCAGCTTCATGTATTTAACCTCACTGACATCTCCAAACAATTACAGCTTAATTTTAAATTGTAGATGACAACCAGAGATACAAGTATGTTGGTCTGATATTTACCAGTGTGTTTACCTGTGTGTTGTCAGATGACTATGGGGACAGCAAGATGGTTCGGACTCGCTCTCTATCTAAGACCAGCCCCTCGGTAGCTCGGCAGCTGTATGTCGACACCTCAGAGGAGGACGAGTACCAGAGGTACCCCCCCATGTACCAACAACCCCCCCACTGCCGCAGAAACAGCAGAGCCTCCTCCCAGGAGAATCTGGGTCAAGCCCCTCCTGTAAGAACAAACATCCAATCACTGATCAATCATCATCCCAGTGTATTTGTGCTGTTTAATACCAATGATGTTTTATTTCCAGTCAAATGAACGTGATACGATAAAAACCAGAAACATTTTTGCATCAGACAGAGAAAGTGGGAAATGTACAAAAATTTGATTTATTAATGAACAACTCAAAACTCACCTTTTTACCATGAATATAGTTTGAAAGTTTTATTGGGATGAAATTGGTGGTTTCAGAGCCCAAACTGAAAATCCTGGTGATACTGGTTATGAATGATAATAAAAAGCATCTTGAACTTGAATGTCACAGATCAGCGAGCTGAACAAACGCATGTGTGTCATTGAGAGTTTGCTGAGCTGCCTGGAGGAGAAGATGGCCCCCACTGGCCAGGTGAGAAGGGACCAGCTTCAGCACAAGTCCAGAAGTCTCCTCTCTAATTGTATCGGCTGGCAAAAATGTAGTGAGTTATCTTTAAATACTGTGGCATGTCCTCCTGCAGAATCAGGCCGGTCAGAACGAGGAAGAAAAGCTGAGGAGGAAGCTGAGTGAGCTGGCAGGAAACTTGAGTGACAAAGGCCTATCATCGGACGACGATGATAGGAAGAAGCCCTTCTCTCTGGGTAAAGGTTTGGCCGCTGTTAGGGGCGGCCCGGCACTCACTCTGGACTCTCTGAAGGACAAAGATCTGAGCTCGTCCAGCAATGAGATGCCCACTGAGGCTCAGAAGGTAGGACACGCCAGGACAGCTGTTTCACTCAACTGCACTGAGTCACGGGTCAGAGCCAGCAAATTGGAACCTGGAGTTAATTTTATTGAAATTAACCTTGTGACCTTAATTCGGGTTCATATCAGTGTCACTGTTGTATTAGCCTCAGTTTGAAGCTAAAACCGTCAAGATTTCTTCCATGATGATGTGTAAATGTCCAGGTTCCTGTTTGTGTTGCAGTCAGTGAAACATGAGCAGTGTCTTGGCCGGTCCCAGGAGAAGAGACTATTTTCCATCAGTGAAGTCTGAACACTGATATTTTTTAAAATGGTACATTTGCATTTTTCATATTTAGGCTTTTGACCTTGCAAAGAGTTCCACTTCAAAATAAGAGTTTAAATACGCTTTATCATGATTTGGTATTTCCTGATAAATAATTTTGAGAACAGATCTCATCATAGTGAGATTTAATTATAATTATGAGATAACTTGGCTCTTCTACATTTGACTGACTTCCTGAAATGGATGAAGGAGGTTTGGGAAATGCATTCTCTGTTTTGTCACTCAGTGTTTCTGATATAACGTTGTTGGAACAGATGTTGAATCAGACTGCAGGACTGCATCCTCACTTACAGCTACTTTCTGTGTCAGGGCAGAAAGTGACAGCAGTTAACTGCCTGCACCACAGGAGACGCTACTAACACAAGTGGTGTTGATTGGCATGTGGAAAGTTGAAGGCTCAGTTCATTCACACAACATCTCTGTATTTAATCCACCACACCGAGTGTGATGGGAAGTCTTTTTTATCAATACTCAGATGGCCTTGGAGTTTGCATTTGTTGTGGTTTTTGACCACAGAACCTTTTGTTCGCAGTTTGTTAAAAAGACTCACTAAATCGAAGGTGCATTGAAGTTGTTCTCTTGTTTTAAATATTACAGGGCCTCCAAAGTCCTGAAATATACATATATTTTTATCTTGTAAGCATCCGACATTGTCTTCGTCGTCTGACAGACGAGATCCATCTGCTATCAAGTGAGATTTGGTCCTGTTTGCACTAACCGCATCTCATGTCTTGTTGGTCTAAGATTAATCTAGTATACTGCTGGCCTATGTTGGCCATGTTGTGCAGGAGACATGGCTGAGATATGATGTTCAGCCGCGCCATAGCCTGTGCTCACTTTCTTCACTTTCCAAGTATTTGGATTTTGCTTCTCCAGATGATGTTGGTGCATTATTTAACGGCAGCATGCTCACTGCAGTCTTTTCATTTTTGACGTCCAGAAAAAAACGCACTGACACATTCACACATGAGCCCTGTCACTAATGAGGTCAGAGTCCATTATAACAACGTAATGTGAGTCGGTGATTAACCCTGAACAGATTCTGACATGGAGTGTTTGTGTAGTAGGACTGAGCTCTCTAGTAAACACCTGAACTGTCAGCCTAACCTCGACACAGCTGGCTGAAAAACCTCCACATTACCAAGCTACACCGAACACCACTGGACCCTGGTGATATTTTGGCATCCAGGCTGGTAGCTGCTGCAGAATCATGTTGTTTTCCAGCTGCTAACATCTGTCCCTCTACGTGGCTTTCAGAGATCGACTGCTGCTGCCCTCTGTGACCTCACCACTGAGGTCCTGAGAACCATTAATGCCACAGAAAACGCAATGGTGAAGTACGGCTTCTCAGAGCCGATCGACAGGTCCCACTTAGTAGGGACTGACATAAAGCAAGCAGATGCTTTCAAGAAACTTGAGGAAAATGTAAGCTCCAACAGGAACTGCATGTCTCGTTTCCCCCCACGTCTCTTTGTCTGAAGGTCAAACTGAGCCGAACCGTCCTGCCTCATCTGAAGCATGGCCGAATGTCTGCACTGGCTTTGAATGTCCAGTCTGTTGTGTCCCAGTCTGTTCACCACAGGGCTGGGGTCTGTAACACATACAGATCATTTCTGGTTCCAGTCTGGGTCCAGTTTGAGCAGCTTTCTCACCCAGAAAAGCGCCAAAGTGCAAGAAATCAGATTCTCTACCACCAGAAAACAACAATGTAATTACTAGATCTGTATCTAATCAGGAAAGGTTTCTTACAATTAAGAGCAAGCTCAGCAATGAGATCTGATGTGGTTATACAAGAAGATTTATGAGTAGCTCTACTAAAGTAAATCCATATCTAGTACTAGTGAAGCAGGACAAACTCGCACAGTTCTAAAGATGTATCTTGGTAAGAAACACTGTCATTGTAAGCACCTGTCTCTGGTTGCGTTGTTACTAAAATGTACGGTAATGCTGTGAAAAGATGTTTAAACAAAGATAAAAATGTCCTTAGACTCTGATGTGAAAAACAAGATTTAAAATTAGACTCTGATGTGAAAAACAAGATTTTTTTTAAAAATGTTATCCATCAATTACCTTCCTGTTTTCAGTTTTAAACCCCAGTTTAAGGCAGTGGAAACCAGGCGTATGTTTTAAACCGATACCCAGCCCTGTCACCAGCATCATCCGTGTTTCAGGTGATGCAGGTGTGTGTCTTCTCTTACCCATACAGGTGTACATCACGGCCAGTCAGTCGTTCGAGCTAGAGACGAAGCTTTGGAAACTCGAACAGAGTGCCAAGAATCCGTTTGGAGGGACAGCAGACTCTGAGCTGTCGGAGCTGGAGGATGTGGTGGCTCTGACGGCTGCCAGAGTCCAGAGCACCGAGAGCGAGGTGGGTCCCACCCCTGGAGCATGTTGGTGTATCTGCGTTTAGTGACAGTGTGCTATCAGATTGTAATGACAGGCTCAGAATTTTGTAAATGTCTCTTAAACTGCCTTGTGGTTATTTATTTTATCTCACGGGAGCACACTAAGTTATTTTGGAATTAGGAGATGCTAAGTTTTTATACTTTCATGGAAGTTGCAGTGTTTTGTGCTTCTGTAGATTTCTATAGTAAAGGACAAGTGCTGCTAGTTTTAAATAGCCACGTCCAGATTTAGTTTCCTCACCCCAGAGCTACACACCAATTCACCATTTATGAAAAGAATACATTCACTCAGTTTTCTGTCATTTCTCTACAGGTGTCCGATATTGAGAGTAAGATTGCTGCTCTGAGCACTGTAGGATCCAGGAAGAAGGTTGGTTTTGAGAAGATATTTCAGTTGAGAGATGACAAGGGCTTGTGGTTGATCGCTCAACTTAGCGTTGTTAGAAATGTGATTTTAGCCGCTGATACAAATGACTGAAAGGCAGCGAGTCCCAACCAGACATTCAGTAAAAACTGGTGAAACAGAAACATACCAGAGATTTACACAGTGACCTGTGAAACCTATGTCGCATGTTTTCACCTCACAGTTTAGCTGAGTATCATTTTTAAATTTGCAGATTCCTCTTGAATCACCAGTCAATTTAACCAGGTGTTAAACACAATCACGCTCATTTTTGATTTGTTTGATTATGTCTTCAGTGTTATTTTAAATCATGACTTCCAGCTTGTCAGTAAAACTTCACACGTGTTTCCACAGGTTTCTGGATCTCATCAGAGAAAAAAGTCACAAGACCTCCCGAGTAAGAGCTGAAATATTTCATACAAATGTTAGCTCATTCACTGGTTCCCCAGTGTACAGGACTGGGAACCAGAGAAAGAGATGGTGACCTGAAGAACATTTAAATTTCACATGGTCTAGGACAAAGTGCAGTTTATGTGGAAAGATATTTGTGCCACAGTTGAATGATGAACAGTAATGACAAATGTTCATGTGATCTGTTATCTGATGATAAACCAATCATTAAGATTTAAAGCAGTGTTTCTGCTCTTCCTGCAGAAAGCACCAGTGGAGCTCAGTGGAAATCACACAACATGCACTGAAGCTGGAACCTCCACATGCCAAACCAGCTTCTCTTTTCTCTTCTTCTCTGCTCCGTCCACAAAACCAATCTCGTTCTTCAAAAAGCTTGAGATAAAGTTTTTAGCTGTAAATGCTGTAGAGCAACATCGACTTGTTTCTCCTGCAGACACCTTCTCTCTTTATAAAACTGAACCAGTGCTGAGGAAATAGAAATAAAACAACAGCAGCAGCTTTTAAATCTTCTTATCAAACATTAATGCTAGACTCGTGTTCGACTGGCCACCAGTCCAGGGTGAGCTTATATAGATTATCCTGTAGAGGGTCAAGGGGGGCTGGGGCATCATTTTAAATTTCATTTGGACTCATTGAACTAAAATCTGCTGCTGCGACCTGTTAGAAAAGCATGTGTGCGCACACTTTTCTCCAGTCAGTGAAACAAACCAAACTCTATTTCCAGTTTATTTATTTGTTTAAAAAAAATTTCTAGGTCATCTTACTGCCATTCTCTGGAGCTTTCAACCACTTCTCACAGAAGAGTCAGGAAGTCAAATCAAACATTACCATCAATGTCAGTAGAAACACATTTTCCTCATGTTGCTACTATTTGCTAAATAAATATATCAGTTCATTGTCAGCTGATTGTGGGCAGAGGAGCCTATTTATCAGTATTAGTAATAATCTGTGATGTTTGAGAATATTATTTAGAAGGAAAATGTAGTTGGAAGAAAATACTGATGAAACATGTTTTGTGTTGACCCCTATAGTATTTGGCTTTCTGATCAATAAACTAAAATCAGCTCTGTGATTATGGGTTATTTTTTTAACTTCTCTATTTTCGTTAAACTATTATTTAAGTTGTAGTAGCCTATAATGTTCTGTGGCTCAGATAAACAATGTAATTTTCTTAAAATTTATATTTTTCGTATTAAATCTCGCTTTAAAAAAATCTGTAAAAATCGGAAAGAGATGCCGCCTTCAAATTAAAGGCGGGATTGATCATTTTATTTTGAAATATGGGAGCAGAAGTATCCTTATGTGTTCTTTTCCGTTTGACTTTTGATTTAAACCACTGTGCTCCCCTTTATTGTGACCTTTAACTGAAACCAGAAGAGCAAGAGGAGTCCGCAGAATTGAGGACAAAGCCATTTTAGATGACATGGGGATCGTTAGCTTTATTTCCAAGCAACTTCCCGTCTCTATGTAATCGTGTCCAACTTGACGCAGTTAGCATCCTCCCTACCACATTAAACGCCTCCTCCCTCCTGTGTCACTCTGCGGTCCGGTACAAGCACACCTGTCACCGTGACCTGTGCTGTGCTGACTTCAGCGTCCCGAAGGAAAAAAAACACCCGGTTCTTCTCGCCCGGTGCGTCAACTGCCTGCGCGGCTGTTGACAATGGCGGATTAAAGAGTTTACCGGCCTTTTTACCGACGCTCCTGTGAATGATTTCTGCTCACGGAGACACGCGAAACGAGGCAGAGAGCAACTACAGCAACCACCGGTGATATGAACATTTATCTGGCTTTCCGGTTGTGCAGCAAGCTAACGTTAGCTAGCTATAAAAGGACGAACTGCGGCGGCAGCTCGGCCCTCTGCCGTTCCGGTCACTCTCCGTCCGTCGAATAGCCTCAGAAAAATATTACTTTTTTATCTCGAAGTCTTTATTTAAGCGTTCTCCCGTTTTGACCAACAATCCCGTAAGTTCCGGTCTAAAGGACACCTCTGGATATTTTTGCCCTCGGTAAATCGCTCCTGAACGATTGGCGCATGCGGATAGTGAACTAAGATAAGCTGACCGACGAGTAGCGTTAGAAAAAGACCGGGGTTTAATCTCCGGATTAATTTAGTAGTTTGTTTTCTTCTGAGCACCGGGCCCGTATGTTCCGGACTAAAGGATAATTCGGCTCCCGGTAACGACCTCCTGAATGATGGGGACTCAGGGACCAGGCAGGAAAAGAATACCGAACCGGGAAAAGCTGATCGCCGAAGATGATGCCCTCAACCAGGTCGCACGGGAGGTAAGACTGTCGATCAGTACTTTTTATGTTTGATTGAATATGGTTATTGATTTAATATGAGAAAGGTTTGAATAGAGCAGCAGATGTTGGATTACAGTGAGTCACACTGCGGAAGAACCAGCAGCGGGAAACAAGCACTACTGTAAATCATCCAGTAGTTAATGTCACGGCCGGACGCACCTGTTAGGGGGCCCGGGGCCAACACCCCCAATCAGACGCTGATCAAGAATATAAAGAACAGATACTTTTTACCATCTATTATTTTATGTAAACTATACTTACAATGCCTGCCTCGTTTTATTGTATTATGTTTTATTTATAGTTATTTTCTCTTCTGGTTTTCGTTTTTATATTTTGTTTTCTTTATGAAGTATTTCTACTTTTTACCTATTCAGTTAGTTGTAAGAATACTGACTATGAAAAATGACTTAACTCAGGGCAATTGATAATAAAACCATCCCTAGTTTTTCTGTCTAATGTTCTAATGATATTCTATGATAATTGGTGGTGTTTAATACTTGTGTGCTGCTGAAACAGTATCTGTGTTCACACTGAGTTCCTGTCATCCCACAAAACAGGGTAGGAATGTGAAATGTATGCATGAGCTGCTGCTCCTCTTCTTCTTTTCTTCTGTGGTTAGAGAATTGGCTTCTCCAGGAGTCCTTGAGCCTTGTTACAACCAGAACTTGATTTAATGACTCTCTGACATTTGTTTTGATATTTGAGTAACAATTAAGAGCTTTACACTTGTTCCTTTAAACATGTACAAAACACCGTGATTGAACAGGCAAGCTGATTTATTAATTTTCTTCATTAGTGGATTGTTGAGTCAAAAAGTCAGTTTCTCTTCTAACACCAAATTCCTTCAGTTCACTGAGGGGAAAAAAGAAATGAGAGAACTCTTAACACAATTTTAATGATAGTTTGCTGCAGACTGATTCACACATGGAGACATGAGAAGGGCTGTTGCTTAAATAATGTATTTTTTTTAATGGGGTCTGATGAGAGTGATGTTTGCCCCCTTCTCACTGACCTACTGGGAGAGCTGGCAACAAACCAGTGTGTGTTAGCGTGACCTCCATCCTTTAATCCTGCAGCAGCACAAACATTAATCTGTATTACAACATGTTGAGACTGACACAGATCTTCACATCATTATTGTTTACACTGTGTTTTTGTCACAGGTTCATTAACGGGTGCTTTATAACCTGTTTATCTTTGCAAACAGCTGTCCAAGCTGCATTTTTAATCTGTTTTCCTTGTTGCTTGTTTTCATTCAGACCAGGTGGACTCACCTGCACCATAGAAACTGTGTACAGTTAATTTCACTGAATCTTGATAAGATTTTACCTGGACAACAGTCTGAATACAAACTGTAGCTCTCAACTGAAACGCACACTTCAGGCCTTGGCACAAAGTGAAGGTGATGTCAGGTGTGTCCTGAGCAGCTATGCAGGTGTTGCCCAGGGTGTGTCAGGGAGTGTCTCTGGTATGTGGGCAAGTGGACAGTCCACATTCCTCCTG